AAGATATACATTAAGCAAATTGATTCTATGTTGCGTATTTTCCGGACTTAAGACACCAACATAAATTTCATTATAAGAGTTCACCACTGCAAAACATCGAATAAGTTTTTTTTGAGCTGTCGAGAAATTACTCAGTTAGCAATATTTTACAATTAACTAAACATATATGCGTTAATCACGTTAACCATTCTTTATGTATCTTAAGATTTATGCATATCTTAAAGTTTGGTGAAATAAAGATGAGAATGACAAGATTGACTAGACCCATGATTAAAAATTGTTCCTTGGGAATATATTTATATCACTGTCACATAGCAGCCATAATTTATCCCATAGTATATAAACATAGGGCCATGAAGCATTTGCTACATAACTATATTTCATTTGATCGATCAAAGTTATAACCATTGTACATGATGAATCGAACATCAAAACAAATTTACCTTTCCTAAAAGAGTAATTTATAATTGTCCTGAGAATCTTATGCCTTTGTGTTACCAATAGCTTCTAGCCGAAGTAACAAAAAAAATGGCACTACATATTCATTTTGAATATATTAATCCATATAATAGTAAAAAGGTAATTTATACACAAGCTCCATAGTTAACGTGGTGACTGGCAACTTCCAATCTATAGGATTCCATATCCTACGGGTGTGAATGGTAGTCATTCATAGAAGAAAAGAAAATGGTAAAACATTATTTGTTCTTTCATTTTACCAATGGAGAATAGAAAAGAAAATTAAATTAAATCTTCTCAATTTCTCTTAAAAGTCAAGTTTCAAGAAAGAAAAATCCCACTTATTTACGCAAGAGAAAAATATTTTCTCCAATTAATCTAAATTAACTTTTTTACTGTTGAATTTCACTCATATATTTTTTTTTTCTTTCAATTTTAGTACCAATCACACTCTGTACACTTCCCTATTTGTATGCAGATTTCAACAACGGCCAATTCGTTCAAAAAAAAACTTTAGTAGATTTGTTTGACTAATATACTGCATATGTCACTATTTTTTTTTTAAATATCATCATTCACACGGTACAAATGTTTACTTTTTCAGTAAATTTACTCATCATAAGATTACTCTAAAGTAAATATGTTTAGAACTGTGAAATTATTTCAAAACTAGTTTATTGCAAGGTTTTTAAGTGTTTATTTATTTTCCAAAGTTCTTTTTCTCACTTAAGCGGATACTCCAATAAAAGCAAATCAATTTTTAGAATTTCTTACTATGAATTTGTGGTTAATGTTTATCTTTCTGGTCAGAGTTTTTTTCTACAATGAATGCAATTTTAGAGAGTGAAAATAATAGGTTTGAGTGCTAGAGACAGAAAGTAGCTTCATTTTCTTGTGTTGAGTTGTGCCAACGGCAAAGCATGGTATCGAATCGGTGATCTTCCACAGATCTAATGACAACGAGCTTGTCCCTGATCGATTTTACTATTGTTGTTGTTAGACGAGCTTGACTTGTTGGAGGTGGAGTGACTCCGGTTTGGCTCAAACCATATTATAGGTTATTTTATTTCCTTTGTTGCCCTAGGGATATGTCCTTAAATATGTAACTCTTTAGCAAATCGTTCATCATCCATGAATTATAGGTTTAGAAAATTCTTTTGGACGGCTACGCCGTGTGGCACAAGGATTTAGAGTCCTTGTAGGGAGAATTAGCTTAGTCTCTCAGGAAGAGAGATTTGTCTCTTTGCTTTTACTAGCATATTAACCTCCTTTTTAGATTTTACCCTTCGCCTTGCTTCCCGAATCTTCAACTTTGTTAGTAGCCGAAGCTCTCTTCCTCTTCGCAGGACCAGCGGCTCCGTGCGCTACTTTAACCCTAACACACGTACCTTCATCTCCTTTTGGTTCTGCAGAGGAAGGTTTTAAGGTTAAAGAAGCAAACAGAGTTACTGGTCTAGTGAAGATTCTTGGAGCAAGTCGAATGGCAAAAATGAGGTAATATGCAAAGAAGAAGAAGATGGTTGAAATCGATGCGAGGAATACAGTAGTAGAGATTGATTAAGCTTGTTCTGAAACCTATACAAGCGTAGACCGAATCAAAACAGAAAAATTAAGCTAAATTTGGATGGGTTTAAAACATCGGTAAAGAGGAATTGCTTCGGGTATTTAGCCGCTCACCATACAGAGCTGTGTAAGTCTTGTTCGTGATTCTTGAGTATACAATGAGTCACATAAACTCTCTCTTTCTAATTGCAATCGTAGTAACCATGGTAAAGAGCAATTCGAGGAACTGTTGAGATGGCGATTTTACACCACGGAAAATCTCTCTGTTTAGCCCGTTTCATCCAGGTGCAAGCCGTTCACTACCACCTCAACCATATAGAAGACGGTATTCAAAAGCTCAAGTCT